TTCCCTCTCCCCTCCCCTTCCTCATCTCCGGCAGCGCTGGGGGACAGGGACGGAGCGGGGGTGCGGCACCAAGCGTGCCACAGGGGCAAACGGGAAAGGACAAGGGGGAAGTAATGAGAAAAAAAAAACCACAACAACAAAATAAACCAAAACAAAATAACATAAAATAACATAAAGTGAAATAAAGCAAAACAAAATAACCCCCCAAAAAAGCAAAACAAAACAAAATAAACCAAAATAAAATTTAAAAAGCAACACAAAATCAAATAAAATAAACCAAAATAAAATAAAAACAAAGCAAAACAAAATAAAACAAAACCAAATCAAAATAAAATAAAATAAAAATAAAATAAAACAAACCAAGAAAAACCAAAATAAAACAAAAAAATGCTATTATTATTAAAATTCAAGTCCTGGTAAACTGAGGAGCAACTACTGGGAGGGATGCTGAAATTTCTGAGGGTACATGGGTACCCCTCCCTCTCAAACCAGTAGGCACAGCTCTTAATTTTAATTTAATTATTAGCCAGAAACAGCTTCCTCCTGGTTCCCTTCACCTTACCAGTATGGAAATCTCCCCTGCTGGCAGGAAAATCTTGACACATTTAGCTCCTAAAGAGACGGTACTGTTCCCAATAGCTACCGAGTTTTTTGTTCCTAACAAAACAGCTATCAAGGGACAGAGCAACGACACAGAAGTTCATGAGAACTATCGTTAGCATCATCACTGTAGCACACTACACTTAGCTTGTATAATAGACGCGTTTCCTCCCCCAGACTTTGTCTTTCAAGAAAACAATGCCCAGTTCTTTACCATATCCACAAATGACCTAGTAAAGGGAGTAAAGAGCAAAGCAGCAAAGGCTGCAGCTGATACAGAATTATTCAGAAAAGATTAAACTGCAGCTGAGATAAACTGCAGAAATCTTTCGTAATGCGATGTAGCAGAGCAATAAGAAGTCAGATTTTGCATTAAATTCCACATCAACAAATGCACTATCCAGCACCTAAAGGGAAAAACCCATTATACATGCCACAGCCTTTAAATGAACTGGTTTTACTAGGAAACAAATCTCAGAGCCATGGTGGGTTCTTGACATCAGGGCTCCATGGTGGGCAAAACAGCAGAAAGAATTATCGGAATTAATAAGGATAAGTAGAGAAAGAAGCACAAAACACCGTTTTACCTTTCTATAAATCCTTCTGAAATAGAGTTTGTGCCCTGTGTCATAAGAGATAGCCAGGGGAAAAAAAAAAAAAAAGGTTCTTTAAAAAGTGACCAGGTATGGAAATGCTCCTGCATGGCAAAAAGCTAACGAGGTTAGAAGCAGGACGTGCTGAAGCTTGGAAAGGAGACAGCAGAGGGTGGTGACAGCTCAGTCATATCACAGGAGGCCTAAAAAGGCAAAGAACAAATTTCATTCCCTGTTTCATGTAAGTATTCCTTTTTCTCAATTAACATACCACCTAGTAGTTTTAAAACAAACACCATGAAGTTTCGGTGGAGTTTTCCTTTCAGTGCATGTATAATTGAATCTCATTCTCGCAGGATATTGCAGAGAACAAAGATGTGGAGAAGCCCATCCACAAGTGGCTGCTAAACACAGGTGCACGGGAAGCTCCTGAAGCTCTGAAAGCTGGATGTGTGGTCCAGGACAGGACCATTACACATTTATCTGCTTAAATATTTTCTTTCCTAGGTGTCTTCAGTTGGGCAGGGCCAGAGATAGGGTGCTGGACTACGTGGCCAGGCATGGTGTAGCCAAGCGGGAAAGCTGGATCACAGCAAGGCTGTGATTTTCTGAAGTTCACATGAAACTTAGGATGGAGCTGAGAACTGACTTCACACCTATGAAGCATCATATCAGGGATACAGCAACATGTAACCACAGGAGCAGTTTCCCTGCACAACTGTGTGCCAGAGTTTCACTTGCTGGTCTGGAAATGAACCAGGCAGTAAAAGCGATTAGCAGTGGAAAGACACTAGACAGCTGTAATTATCTAAATGCCTTCCTATTAACCATGTGAGAAACTAAATCCTCACAATCACATTCGTTAGTGAATGCTAACGACAAACTAACTACATGAAGTTTCATTTGATTAGGTAGAAGAATTCTACTCCAATATGATTATGTTACACAGAATGACCTAAAAAAAAATAAAACCAGCCTGCCTCAGAGAGCAAATGAATGTTAATACTAGCAGACAGGCAGAGAAGCCCTGTCCTTGCAGTACGAGGGCAGCTCCTGCTGCCTCGTGTGCTACCAACGGCACAGCCAGGCCCCTCGGCTGATGGCAAAATGTTCCCAGCTCCCCGGGGCAGCTCCTGCCCCCGCTGCTGGACCTCCTGCAGATGCTGAGCACAAGCGGGACCGAGCCAGTCCTGCTGCGGTACATCGTGGTGATTCACTGCATATTAGCCTCATTTAGAAAACCCTGCAATGTCATAGCGAGAGCAGATAGCAAGCAGTGGGAGAAATTCGCCCTGTTGATGCCTGTGCTGTTTTTCACCCAAGGGGAACAACGTGGTTCAATGGATGGGGCACCGGCGTGCGAGGTGTGAGCACAGCCTGACGGCTGCTGACCTCAGAGCCACTGGGCTTTCGCCAGCCCTGGCACCCCACATTGCGAAAGTGCGTCACCGGTCCCGACGCCAGACGTGCTCACTCCTTCCTGCTCTTGCAGAGCACGAGGAGAGCTAAACATAACAATTTGTACAGAGATGTGAAAACACCAGGGCAGGCATCAGTTTGCAGGGCAATCTGCCTTCTTGGTACCTTTGCTGATTCCTTTCTTGAAATGCAGACAAACCGCAAGCTTTGCCAAACACATCTCTTCAGAGCACCCACAGATACGAGCTAAGAAGAGCAGGTCTGTTGGCAGCAGGGATGGAGGAGCTCACTGCACCTTTGTGGGAAAAAGTGAGGGCAAGTCCAGCACCAAGCTGAATCCCACTGGATCTGTAACATCCATCATTTCTAGATACACAGGTACTGTGGTGGCAAGCGTGATGCCAACATCCAGACACAACAAACTAGCACCCATACTTAACAAAATGGACCATGTAACACAGTCCATCCATACCATGAGGCACTTGAGAGAAGACCTGCATGTATCCAGGGCCTAGGTACCACAGGGACACGAGGCAAGAGCAAAAGCCTGCACCAGAGAGTCCGTTTCCAACATGGGTACAGAGCGTGACTCACTCTTGGCTGAAACTGTAATCACAATTTTTAAGCAGGAGTTCCCTCTGTACCCCTTATTCTCAAGCAGATGACATGGATTTCTGGCATCCATGTGATTTTGCCCAGTCATCCAGCTTAGGAGATTCCAACCCCCGTGAGGCTCTTCAGGCAAGGAGGCAGCAATGAGAATGTAGCCTCTTCTGAGAGGGCATGCCGCGTTCCTGTGCGGGCACAAGTCCCTCCAAAGCCCATGAAAGCTGCTGCCGGTGCAGTCGAAGGGCCCCTAGACATCATCTCACCCCTCTTCCGCTCCCCAGCCTGACTAGTGGGCACTGCCTGGGCTGTTGGCATCCTGGGGACAACACGTGCACGGAGGCCAGAGGGGCAGGCAGGTGTCCCAGCACCCGGCTGCTCCCCAGCCCCATCCTGTCACAGTGCTGCAGGTGAATTCTTTATACATAATCAAATAAACCAGAAGGTTATTAGATTTGAATTAGCATTCACTAACACAATTGATTGTGTGGATTTAGTCATCTAAATGGTCAATGCTAGGACATTTGGGTAATTATTACTGTTTAGTGATATTTCTTCAGCTAATTGTTTTTATTGAATGACTCACTTTGATGATGCAGCTGAAACTAGTGTGCAGCTGGGCTCCTGAGGACAGGGGTTTAGCTGCCCAATCCACCTCCTAGAGGCGCCCTCGCTCCTGTAAACAATGCATTTGGGTGCCTCTGGATGGTCCTTAGGAAAGGACCCATTTGGGAACTGTTCCTGCCCCTGCTCATACATGCCTGATCGTACACGGGATGATTTCTCACAGCAGCTCACCCCATCAGGGTTAAATAAAACTGAGCTAAACTAAGCTGAAGTGGGGTTTTTCCAAACTCTGCTTGAATGGCTGCCATCTGTGAGGGCAGCAGTGCAACGACCCACGTAAGCTGAGGTATTTCCTCCTCCACCCTCCTAGGCACACCCCACCCTCACCCCAATGAGAAAAGACCCCACTTATGCTGCCCTCCTGCCCCCTCCTCCACAGAGGGGCTCAGCCCTGCTGCCCCAAACCCAGGCTGAGCCCCAGCTCCACAGCAGTGCCTGCCTACATGGGAGGGCTTATGTGGTGGTCAAGCTCTCAGCATCTCCCTGCAGGCAAGCACAAGGGGGAAGGGGTTGTGTCCCCACACACACCATTAACCCCTGCCTGCATTTGGAGGGACACAGGTAAGAAGGCTCTGCCTGCATAAAACCATGCCAAAGCAAAAGCCAGAGCTAATGTTAAAATTTCCCACCTGTAGCTGTCTGGAATAGTCCAGATGAGCAGACTGTTGCTCCAGCGGCAAGAGTGTACCCATGCCTGCTGCAATCAACAGCTTCCTCCAGGTACGAGGTCTCCCTGGACTACTGTTGTGCTCCCCAGGTTTGGCAGCATCAAAGCGATGCTTATCAGAGACCTCCAGATGAGGCAGCTGAAGGAAGGTACTAAAGGATGCATGAGTGTGACCAGGTCTCACGGTCATGCTGTGCCTGAAACTGGGTGATCTGGCTTGGGTTTTGTTCTACTACATCTTGTCATTTGAGATCAGCTAAGCCAAACATATGGAAGGAGTCAGAGAGACCTGCAGGTATTTCCCACCCCACAGGGCAGGAGGGGGGACTGCACCCCCAGTCCAGAGAGCAGGGAGCTGCTGCTCAGCCCCACGCAGGAGGGCTCAGTCACGCAGCCTGGGTGGCCTTGAGGTGACAGCGACTTGATGCTGCTTGCTAGGAAGGCTGGGAGCAGGCACCTCATGCACACAACTCACATGTGCCCTTTTGCTGTTGATTCATCCCAGATGTGTTAAAGAAGTGTGGGACTGCACAGGCACATGGCTTTGCTGAGCAGTGCCCGGAGGCTGTTTTGGGCAGAGCTCAGAGCACTGGGGTGCCAGGGGGACAGACAGACGTACCAAGTCATGCCACCGCAACAGGAACAGCAGACAGTGTGTGTGAGTGAGGAACCTCCTCAGAAAGGAAGATACGAATGTAACATAGATGGATGAGGTGCTGCTGTATACACAGAGGGTGAGACACAAGGTAATGGTACAGCCAGCTGAGTTGGGTTCCTGTAGGCTCCAAGACAAGGATACTTTGACTGCTTTGTCTTCTACCTCCCAGGTCTGCAGGGGCAAAGAACTGCCAGCTGGCGATGATACAGGAGGTAGCTGTGACGGCCACAGTGCGATGCTGCACTTTGGGAGGCAGGGGATGCAGCCAAGAAAAGGGTTTGTGTCTGTGGATGCAGGCAAATGAAGAATTAAATCGTGTGACTGTCAAACACTTGTTTCAAAGAGGGACCAACACGGCTTCTCTGCAGTGCTCTGGGGAAAATCACCCCCTCCTATCTCACTTCCCTTGCTGGCTTTCCCACAAGTGTGTTTCAGAGCCTCTGTGAATCTTCCTGTCTCAAGCATAAAACCAAACCCCTGGCCCTGAGTCTGTGTTGCCAGAGGTCAGGGTTTTCCCAAGCAAGTCATACTTTTCCCTGCTCAGAAATGTGGTCTGGGAAGAACTCAAGGATTACCTTTTCACCATTTGTCCAATGTTCCCGGACATGTAGGGAAGGCCGGCACTGTGTGTCCCCAAGGGCTATGCCGTGTGCAGGCCCTCCAGACGTCACCACGGCTCACGCACAGGACAAGGAGTTTGCAGAACTGAATTTACCGCCTGTGCACAAACCATCTGTCCAAGAAAGGCAGGAGCTTATCCTGGAGAGATATTTCTGTCTGGGAAACACCACAGCCATAAGTTAGTAAACAACGCCCACGAAATCTGAAGAAATCAGAGCCCTTAAAAGGCATACACTAAATGGGAAATCATCCCAGGAACGGATGCAGCCTTGGAGAGAGATAAATTTAAACTCCGTCCAGGCTGGAAAATCTGCGTGCAGACTCCGTCTGCTCCCTCTTCCTCCCAAACACGGCTCCAGTAAATGAATCACTGGACCCAGCACCCTCTGAAAGATGCACTGTATGCACAGCCTAGCTCTTTGGTGTCCCTTGGAGCTCTTCTCCCAGCTTATTCTCCTGCAGAGAATAACTGAGGTACCCCAGGCGCTGCAGCCCCGCTCCCATCAACAGCCATTTGTATAGGTAGAGGAAGGATGGGCTGGACCAGCTCTGTGCACAGCCCATAACCACTCCAGAAAAAAATGAGGTTAAAGCCTCAGGAATGTCCTGAGCAGAGGCCTGGAGCAGCCTGATGGGTGTTTTGCACTGCGGCACTTAAAGCCAAGCCCCCATTAGCACTGGCTCAGCTGCCGCCACTGCTGATACCCGTTGCCAGGCTCAGGCAATCTGTGTGTGGCAGATTTGGGTTACCCCTCCCAGAGCCATGTGGTCTGCTGGGCTTCGGGGCTCCCCAGGACTTTCACCAGGAGAAGGAGAGGAGAGCAGCCAGCCTTGCCCTCCTCCAAAGAGGGTGTGCACAGGAGGAACCGACCTCGAGACAGTCCCCGGGCTGGCAGTCCCAGGCCTTTTTCAGGAAGCACCCAGCCCAAAGTTCATCTTCTGTTGGGTTTGTTGGTTTGTTGGTTTTTTTTTTTTTCTCTCGCAGGGTTGTGCTCTTAGTATTGTCTAGTGTTTCCTGCTTCCTCCCCTGGCAGCTCCCCTGCTAGCCTCTACGCACAGCTACAGCGCTCAGTGCATCAGCCCCTCTGCTTGCCACATCCGTCCCCAGGGAAATCCCTGGGCCCACACGCAGTTCAGCTTCTAATTAAGGCTTGCCGTGTGCCTGTCTGCTGCGGCGGGCTCCCACTGCTTGCAGAGCAGCAGCACACCGGCTTTTTATGTTTATCCAGGATGATTTGCACCCACCAGCTTTAGGCACAGGAGCACCAGCAGGCTCAGATCAAACTATGCGCCAAGGCAGGCGGCTCTCACTGTCCCTGCAGCCTCCTGCTCAGACAGCCCAGCCTAACTCAGTTCAGGTCTTTAGTTTGCTCAAAATATCAGGTAGTACCACAGGGAAATTTGTATTCAGATCCAGTTTTGACCTTCTGGATCCGTAATCCAAACAGAAAGGAAAGCAGCTCCCTCCTTGACACTGCCCCGCTGACTGTCCGTGCTCACCCTCTGCCAGGCAGAGCTCTCCCTCTCGAAACCTCACCGGGTCGGTTTTCTGCACAATCCCCCCATGCTGCCCTCTCCACCTTTGCAAGATTCCTGCCTGCTGGGAAGAACAAGAGACTGTAACATTACCAAATGTCACAGCTGCCTGCAGGGGGAAAGTCCCTTCTTGATTATTACTGTGCTCCCAGTTCATATTTTCCTTGTCAGGTGGTTCCACGCTGTCTGCAGCCACAGAGGGGGCTGCACTGATGGGGAGCGTTGTTCTCCATATTGCTGAAGGGAAAGTTGTACAACAAGCTCAAGCGACCTGCCTCTGCTGCTCTTCCCCCAGCCCAAGTGTCTTCTTTCCTACATGAAACACGCGTGGCAGCAAGCTTTGCTGCATCAGGCAGCGAGCATCAGCTTAAAGCTTTGCAAGCGATATGCTTTAACAAACTTCCACGTGAGAAATGGGAATGACACCAGAGAAAACTTGTCTTCCAAGTGGCAGCCGATTTCAAATGACTTGACCTATATTTACTCTTAAGGCATAACAATAAAAGCAGTTTAAATTTATGTAGTACATCTCATCCCTAAGGATCCCCAGAAATGCAACCGGTTGATATATAAACAGCCCATGGTTCATGCAGAGAAATGCAGCTCTTCCCGGGACACAATACATGAGTTTAAGAGATGCCAAAACCAAGCTGCAGTCTAAAAATAGAGAGTAGCGTAGCCAGCCAGAAATCTAGGTCCATTAGACTCCGGACAGGACAGCCTAGTTAACTCCATTTCTGTATCTGTGGGACACCAGTAGGATTTTAAATGCCCTAATTTGGATCTTGGCTTTACATGCCAAAATTTACCCACCCACACCCCACCCATGCCCATATGCTTGGATATTATACCAGCTCAAATGAGGTGGATAAATGTTTCCTACTGCATCCACCACACTGCTTTTTGGAGTATCTGACTGTCCCATATAGCCTCCAATGAAAAAGTTTGAGGAGGTAGGGATACAAGCCCTCAACCCGGCTGGCAAAAATGGACTTTGCTTAAGTTTCCTTCTTCTCATCTGGCCATTTTTTGTAAAGCTTTCAAATTAGTAACAGTCATATTATTATTAGAAAGCAGGAGGGAAACACGTTTTCCATGTTTACCACTAATTGTTCGGCGGTGCCTGGTTCTTATCTCTACAGCAGCGGTAATTGGGAGCCTGAGATATGCAGATTTTAATTGCAAAATGTTATCAGACTGACAACGTTAAGTATTCCCTGGCTTCCATCGCACTAGCAAAGTCCCGAGACCTCTGGAGCAATAAACCGGAATCCTGTTCCAAAGGGGTACCTGTGAGTGCACGTACACGTGCAGAGAGCAGGTTTACTTCACCAATTTGCTTTGCTCTTGGTTTTAACTGCCCAGGCCAAGATCCTGCTGGATGTGGTGACTGCCTTTCCTGGTACGCTTACTGCAAACCATGCACAGTCCTCGAGATTAAATGGGAACAAACAGTTAATAGGTATCTGCAGCAGCAGTCACAAAAGGATGAAGTTGAGGGACTGACTCTGGTAAATCAACAGCACCACAGCGACAGCACTAGATGGTTCTCATGATTAGTGTGGCAATCAGGAAATTACAGTTTAATGTGTTTGCTGGAGGAAGCAGCACGAGAATGTTTCATGTACTTTAAAAACTGATTAAAACCCTACTGCCCCTTTTCAGTATTCAGGCACGCAAGGCTGCTTCTCCAAGCCCTACCAGCTGCTTTCTGCAAGGTAGAATAAAAGCAAACATCTCATCCCTGCAGCCCCGCAGCCCTGCCAACTGAGCGCTCGCAGCACTCAGAGTGGAGGAGGCTTTTGCAAAATGTAGCCCTCAGGTATCAGGTGCAAAACCACCTCTTGTAGTTAACAGCCTTCTACATTGTTAAAGTGACTTTTAGGTACTCCCTTGGTCTTGGAAGGGCCTGCTGGACCGGGCAGCGGAGACTGCTAACACAATCCCAAATAAAAAAAGGCAGAGAAGGTTAAACTCCTCTCAAGCTGATGAGCATAAAAAAACATTCCTGTGAAATGAATGCAGACATAGCAGAGGTGCTAAACACGAGACAACACAGGGGGTTCAGTTTGGCACAGATGACTGCAGCATGCGTAAAGTTTTACTCCTGTTTCAGCAGGGCTAACCCCTGTACGGCTGCTCCGTCCCCTGGGGCCATGTCCGAGCCTCCCAGAACTGCAACACCTGGGTGAGAGGCCACATAGGAAACCAGAGTTGTGATAGGCTCCACCTTATATCCCATATCCAAAGCGGAGTTTGTTTCTTTCTATTCTTTTTCTCCTGTGGACCATGTAGAAAATTATACAGAAGAACTGTGAGAATGTGGTAATTCTCAAAAAAAAAAATAGCATAGTACCTCAGTAGCGCAAAAGCAGCATCAATGACCTTCACCACCATTTCAAAACCTTTGCCTTATACTACCTTCTATATGCCGTCCCTTTAGGCAAATAGTGTACAACGACCTTGTTAGCTGTCAGGAGTTACAGAGAAGACAGCAGCTTTGTTTTAATGCTAACGAGGGTTCTGCTTGCCCCTGCATTGGCGGCTGGCTGCTACTTTACGTGTGGATCAGGGTTTAGAGCTGAATCCCTCCTGGATCCCTGCTGTTGGCTGCCTAATAGCCAGGGGTGCTGGCCCATGTCTGGGGCCCCCCGCGACGCTGGGGGCCAGGCTGCGAGCGGCTGTGGGGCGGCAGCATCTCCCTGGGGCAGGAAGTGGGCTGGCCTCGGCGCGACTTTCCATCCAGAAAACATTTTCCATCTCCTTTCCACCACCTACAACTGGCTGCAGTACTGCCGAGTTAAAACGGCACACAAAATAAAAACATCTCGCGTGCCTCCGAAAAGAGGTTTCTGATGGCAAATGCTTGCTAAAAATAGCCCCGCGTTTGCCTGCGAGAGCAGCTGGAGGTCACTTATAGAAGGAGGCAAAGAACTTGCTTTGCTGAACTCAGTTTCCAGCCATTGCAGCCAGGACAGGAAGTTTTAAAGTTTAATTCCTGCGTGGTTCTAGCAAAACCCCAACCGCAGGCAGCGTGGTCCTGGCTGGGCTTGATTCCCCTGCTAGTCAGAGCAGGAGCTTGCTTTCCAACTCCCTTCCTCCCTTTTTTGCAAGGGAAACAGGTAGGAGGAGATTAATTTGTTAATTAAATTCCCCCTGCCAATTTACATTCAAAAGGGGAAACTGTTTCAAGAAGCTCACAAAACTTTCATGACTATTAACCTACAAAAGAAGGAGTTGTACGGCTTTTTTGTAAACCTGCCCGAAAGCACCACCGGGTTGTCCCAGGCCAAGTGATGAATAACGAAAAAAAAGTCCAGGAATGGCACAGCTGGGCTGAAAATCGGGAACATCTGCTCACAGAAAGTCAGGCATTCACCCTCTCCTCTGGCTCCCCCTTTCATCTTTGGATTTTCTCATAAGTTCTTCTTCAAAGGGATCCCATCCCATGGGAAAATGACCAAAGGAAAAAAGCACAGACACTCTTACTCAGCAAGGCCAGCAGTAGTTGCAAGAGAAGAAAAATTCTTCATGGGAATCCCCCACATCTGAGAAGTAGAAGCAAAAATTCACCAGGGAAAGACTCAGCGCTGCCAGCCCCGCAGACGATGCCTTTTATCCATGTGGGAGCCTGCATTTAGCCAGTTTTCATTACCCGCGGATGGCACGACAGCAGTAAAAAGGAGCAGAGAAGAATCCTTGGGAATGGCCAGAGAAAGGGAGAATAATGGCAGGAAATGCAATCTCTTCCTAAAAATGCTTGTTCTCTTATGGGTATGTACTTTTTGAAAGAGGCCTGTTTAGTCCTGGACCAGAACTGGATGTACAGGAGCGGGGGCAGAATTCTCCTGTTCATTCCTCACCCCACTTCACTGAAAGAGAGTGAAAACTTCCACGTGCAGAGACACGAAATCCTCTGAACGCTGAGGCAGCACCCGCGCGCTTGCAGGTATCGCGACAGCGTGACACCAGTCATGTGCAATACCACCCCAATCTCTCCAAAAAGCGATATCCCCCCCCAAAAAAAAAAAAACCCAAAACAACCCCCCCAAACAGCAGGGCAGACGTGCTGATGCAGTGGCAGCCCTAGCAGCCCCCTTTCGGGTGTTGTTTAGATCCCTGAACTTTGAGCGTGACCTCGCTGCCCCCTGGGCTGCCGAAGGAAAACCTCGTCGCACCGGGAGCCCCCCGACCGGGCAGGGCAAGGGAAAGCCCCCCGGGAAAGCCGACAAGGGGCAGCCGCCCGGGGCGCAGCAGGGAAGTACCGACGGGGACGCCAGTGTGGCGAGTACTTCCCCACCCCCTGAGGTGGAAAAAGGCCAAGTCCCCTCCCGGGCCGGCCCCTTCCCTCCCCTCCGCCGCCCCGGAGGGGGCGG